GCTATTAGTAAGCAACGATAAGATAGTTAAAATGGCATCAATGGCTATTTGACTATCAATGCTATTTATGTGACGTATTTAAATTCGTTAGGTTTCAGATTGTTCGGGAATAAAGAGAGATACGATTTAATCCTGAATAAAAGTAAGCCGCGCGAGAAGTTGCCAGAAATTTATATTTCTTATATTCGATATATGGATGACTGTTCCAAAGTGATAAGGTAGTGATGTAACAAGCACTTGGCAGTTTGTTGATGGACAGTGATACTCGAACCGTCCGCCTGTGCACAAGTTTACGGCAACGGTTGGCGCGCGAGTTATAGCAAGTTACAGCAAGGTTTAACACTGTCGTATGAAAAGTAAACGAAGTGTGAGGTTCGGAAGAATTCGAATCGACCACGTACGAAAAGATAGCGTTTTGCCTCGCTGAGGTAATCCTTCGTTCCTCGCTGACTCAAAGTTTGAGAATTTTAATGACGGAAAATTGTTACTTAACTGTTGGACAAAACTGTAATGAGTAATTTTGTGACATGAATGATATAGATAGTTTTCAAAAGAAAAAGAAAAAAAAAAGAACACGATTATTTTTATATTTTCTCACTGCGTGAGAATTGTGCAAAATTGTTGTTTGCTCGATAACGTATCAATTTTGATTTTCACTCTAGATTAAAGTTTCAACATTAATATTTATGTGCACGTGAATTTAGTCGATGGAAACGCAACCTTAACGCGATAAAATACGGTTCTCGGCGGAGAGGAGTGTAAAAGTTCGCATTATTTACGCTTTCAATTTGCCAGTGCAGCTGAGAGCTATTCTCTCGAGAATACATCGGAGAACACATCGTGCGATTCTGCTGTAGGTATGAGTGTCTTAAATATAAAATACTACAGAGTGGACAGTGTTCACTGTGAATTATTATGGGAGTAACAGAAAACGAGTAATTGCAGCTGTATACCGTATATATGTATATTTTATTTTTATAATAACGTAAAAAATTATAAATCTTTATTAATACAAATATAGATCTATTTTTTTAATAACTAGACTAGTACATAGTTGCTGTATTTAAAATGAAATAGATATATATATATATATATATATATATATATATATATATATGTGTGTGTGTGTGTGTGTGTGATATTTGGTAAAAATAAGAAAGAAAATTTTAGTGCGAGATCCAATACAACAATAAAAAACAAGTTTTATATTAGAATAAATATCGCGAATTAAGAGTTTTTAATTATATACATATATTTGACAAATACCGTTATTATTCTTATTATATACCATTAAATATTAATATGTATATGGAATCAATTGGACATATAATTTATTTTTTATGTATATGCATTTTTTATATTTAAAAAAATTGCAGATTTGATAAGTTTCTCATGCTGAAAATATCTTTCTACGATATATATCATATCATATTCAAAAAAATATTAAATTTAATTAATTTGATAATATTAGTATAAGAATTTATGTATCATAACGTAGGGGAACATGTATGTGAAATATAATCTTGAAGACTAAATTCATTTATAGTATTTAAAAATCTACGAAATCTACACTTAATCTCATTTTAAAGTTAGGAAAACTAAAGTCTTTTTGTAATGTAATCATCACATATCGTAACATCACACAATATCTTTTTATTTCCATTTCCAGCCTATAAAGAATAATATAGATGTCATAAAGTCTTTTCTTTTATTATATCTAATAAATATTTAAATTTAAAAAATAAACTTTGTTATTATCATTTGTCTACAAAATTAACAAGCACTTCTTTGGATTAAATTATTTTGGAATGAAATTTTTTATTTTTTTCTTTGCACAAAGAGATGCGTTATATACAAGATGTCTCGCAACTTTAATATCAGCCCTCATGGGGAGATAGAATCGCATGATCTATTATTTTGCGAGTTTTGCAATTATTGATGAGTTAATTAATGAAATGGATGCTCTATCATTTGTAGATCACACCTCCAAAGACCTCATCGCTTTTAGCAATCACGAACACGCGAGCTAACTCACATGTGTTTGTACTCGTCGTTGAATCGTGTGAATGCAACTCATTCGTAGTTTTTTATTAATTAACACGTTGGCTACAACGTGTCCCTATGGACACCGACCTTTCCGTTTGGAAAGGCATCGGTTTCTGGAGACTGACATTGCACCTTTCGTCTAGGTGTCGGTCTATGGACCGACACTGTCAAACTTGTTAAATAAAATTGGTAATTCATAAAATATAAAAACGACATATTTACACTTTTTCAATGTAATTTATTCAAACAGTCTAAACATAAATTTGGTTTTTCTTTCACACAAAATCGCAAAACGTTATAACGTAAATTTACGTTACAACGGTTATTTATTTATTTATTTATTTATTTTTTTTTTAATCTCTTGTGCCCGATTCCACCAACGTAGATTTAATTTAATTTCGGTTCAACTTACTCTTTTACACCTTTTTCTAATTCCTAGAACTAGAAAAAAATAAAGAGTAAGTTGAACCGAGATTAAAATTAATCTACGTTGGTGGAATCGGGCATTAGCCATTGTCTCTTTACCGCTCGAAATCTTGCGTTTATATTTCTTACGTTTATGTTTGGCCGAATTTTTAGATAGATGGAAAAAGAATTAGAACAGAATAGTCGCGTTGAGCGTTGTGTTATCTTCTTTTTATGCTCCATATAATCCAGCTCGCTCTCAGCTCTTTGCGCCGGCCGAATGGTAAGCATATCGAAATTGCTTCCGTAGCCGTAACGTGTTAATTTATCAGTAATTGCGAAACTCGCAAAATGAATTTTTTGACTTATCTCTTCTCACGAGAGACGATATGGTGGTTGCCAACGAACATCCTCTATACGTTACATCAGCAGCAACTAAAACCTTTTCGCTCACTTCACTTTGGGTTTACGTGTGTAGTACTCACTGTTCTGGTGAACTTTATCGTGGTTCAAAGATTCAAGAACCACGAGAGCATGTTGCAACGCAGCAGAATCCATCGTTCACCTTTTCATAAGGCGGCAGAATGATTCGTTTAGCAGTCGAGCAAACGGGTGTGGCAAGCTCCTCGAAGAGCATCGTTCGCTGGGAACTGCGATCCTTTATTCTCCTCAGAACATCTCGTAAGCGAGTGTGCGTGTTAAGTGTATTCACCTTATGTGTATACGGCACATATCGTATGTTTGCGAGTAAAAATACAAAACTCCAAATAATGCGATATAATAAAGTGCTGCCTTTAACATCGCGAGATCGCAAACTGGTAAATTCAACTGGTGAACGTAGACAAAAGAAATTGATTGATCGCGGAGAAAAATTGTGCATCAATAATCAATGCTGAATCGTAAAGCCAGTGTCTTTTGTATCACAAAATTGTGATTCACAAAATAAGTGCAAAATTAACAACAAATTAGTCAACTCGGATTGTGTACATGAGAAAATAAGTTTGCGAAGTCAAATGTTGTGTCGTGTGAGAAACATGTATAAAAACGATGTATATAACTCATTTTTATAGCACCTTTCTTCTCGAGAGATGAAGATGATATTTGCCGGAATGGATAAATGGAACAACTGGTTCGTATAAATGTATCACGCATATAATTTCATGATATGAATATGCTTCCACAAGCTGGCTAGTGCTAATGATGGGAAATTATAATAGCAGATATCGGATTACCAGAGCATAGATATTGGACGAGCGTATATACAAGTATCGTGCGCGTCGTCCATTCGGATGCGAATCAATGCTCGCGTGTCGTATTGATTATATGGGGGCGTGTGACGATGCAATCAAATAGCGAATGCAATCTCGCGATGAAATTAATTTAATGACATCGAGTTTCAAGCCGGAGGAGGTTCTTCCGGAGGGGGCTAACGGGAATGAAGGGATGAGCGAATTATCGATAAATCGCAAGAATCATTTCTATGTCGAGGGAAAATTCACAGACACGTGCTTCTGCATCCTTCAGAAGCGTCCAATTAAATCTATCAAATTACCATTATCTCTGCAAAAAACATTTGTCAATATTCCAACGTT